CGACATTTTTGCTTTCGCCTTCACAACTCATATAGTTCTTTATCGTACAAACATGATGTGTTCACGCGCAATGTGCCTTTACTCTGTTGCTTGGTTGTCATAATATGTGGCTAAAACCTATTTCTTGTTTGTTTATTTACTAATATACATTTGCATTCGAGTTGGTTGCCTGGCTCACCTAAAAACAGACTGCTGCTTACGTAAACCAATTATATTCTCTGTATTATATTATACTGCATTAAACACTTGTATTTCTCCATGTTCTTGTTCTTCTTATTGTTCTTGTTATTATTATTGCCTGCTAAAGCTTTTTTTCTTTTACTTTGCAAAAGCACTTAGACAAATTTAAAAGAATAAAAACGTAAAAATCGTTTGACTTTTTTGTTTTTAAAATGAGCAAGCTCGACTTTGATTTCCCTTTTCAGATTGCGTAGTATCACAGGTATGTATTTCTCGCTGAAATAGTTCGCTTGTCTGGGTTTCGAAGTTTCTACAAGAAAATTCGAGACATTCATTGTTCAAAGATATCCTCAAGGTCAGTCACGTAGCCAGAATCTTTATTCGGAGTGGGGGGGGGGGGGGGGGGGGGGATCCGCCCATGACAAAATGCTGTATGAGGGGGAGGTGGAGAGGAGGCCCCAGCAAAATGGAAGATCTCGGGGGGGGCGGGGGGTCCCATGGGCTCTTCCCCCCCACTTCCCCTGCATACGTGCCTGCCTAGGGCTAAGCTTCTGCCCGAAAACTGTAATTGTTGTTGTTTATTGTTTATTCTTATTTTCAGTGACCCACCAACAGCTTGACGCCTCCTTAGTGGTGCACTTATTCCTTCAGAAATACAACGCTAAACAGGATAAAAGCGAAACGTTAGGAAAGAACAATAGCCTCAACACACTGTCGAAATTTACGCTTTTCATCAAATATATCAAGGCTAGCGTTCGCACAAATTCGTTCTAAATGGTTATAAGTCAGTTGTAGGCGTGTTATGGGTGCAGCATGATAAAAGTCGATAGGATAAAACAAAGTATAAAGTCTACAAGACTGACGAGGAACGTGCAAATAGATGTGGCTGAGTAGCTCTGGGGAGTCAATTATACCATGTACAATCTTATACAAGTATGTCAGTTCACGAATTGTTCTCCTGTTGTGCAACGAGTCTAACTTCACGAGTTCACAAATCCTCTCATAACTATAGAAATAATTCGGTTGAAAATAACGATCAAACAAAACACGAACAAACCTACGTTGAACACTCTCAATTAAACCTGAATTTGACACTCCAATACAGTTCCAGACAACTGAGGCATATTCAACACGACTACGCACCAGTGAAGAAAACAAACCTAAAATACAAAGTGGTTTAGAAAAATCGCGTGTCACTCGTGTAATGGCTCCCAGCACTCGAAAGGAAGCATTCGTAATTGTGGTCACGTGATGGTTGAAATTAATTGCAGGATCCATAAAAACGCCTAGATCACGGATGACCTCAACGCGAGTAATATTGGTGGAATCTAATACATAGGGAAAACTCAGAATTTCACGCTTCCTAGAAAAGGACATAACTTTCGTCTTTGACTCATTTAAGAGTAGGTCATTTGAAAAACACCACGCCGAAATAGAATCTATATCGCGCTGAAGACATTCAGAATCGTCAACCGTTTTAACCGCTGTAAACAACTTAATATCATCAGCAAATAACAAAAACCGCGTGTGTTTAATACAGGAAGTTAGATCATTTACAAAATGCTGTATGAGGGGGGAGGTGGAGAGGAGGCCCCAGCAAAATGGAAGATCTCGGGGGGGGGGCGGGGGGTCCCATGGGCTCTTCCCCCCCACTTCCCCTGCATACGTGCCTGCCTAGGGCTAAGCTTCTGCCCGAAAACTGTAACATCTCAGAACGACTTTACCGTGATTTTTTCTTAGCTCTTTGATATTACGGTCAAGCCTATAAAGTATATTTAAAAATATCGGCCAGTAATGCCAAACCGCACAAGCATTCAGGATCAAGGAGATTCTGCAAGGGCCTCTTTCGACGCCGGAAAAAAATGCGATCTGTTCAGGAGGCAAGGTAAAGAAGTTGAACAACTCTTGCTTTCCTTGTCCATCAAACTTTTGCGCGCTGGTGGACGTCCCCGTAGTACACCTCTGTGTTTGACAAAAAATATTGTAATTGGTAGTAATATAAACCGTGATTCCAAACAAAATTACGACCTACGATCTGTATCAAACTACGACATTTATCTTTGATTCGCAATGCGTCACCGTGTTGCACAACAATTGCTGTTCGATAATACAATGAATATAAATTAGCATCTAACTCCCAAGCGCACTGTTTCACAGTTAATACGTCGGATTAGACCGGGTTTGCAAGAGAATAATTCTTGCGCCATTAGTGCTCCAACGTTTTTCTGCAAGAGGTGCTGGGAAGGGGGGGGGGAGGGTGAAGGTGTGGGGGGGAGGGGGGGGGTGTGCGGTACTCGATATTAATGCATCGCGGATCACAATAGGTCCGCGGGCTGCCGCCGTCTGACTCCAGTCATAGACAACGAGTCCACTTTAAAACGCATGTTTGCAGCAGTTAACGCGAGTGATACTTTTACAGCATGTTTTCACAAGATGGCAGTTTACATCCGTACTCGTGTTTCTTTTTTTAAAGCTTTGCTTTGTTTGATTTGCATTTGGCTGTGTATGTTGGTGATAGGCAGTCATGACACTGCTTTTTCCCGTTCACACTCTCCTCACTCTTCTGGGTGTTTCTTTAGAACAATATGACTACGAAAATCTAAATGACCTGGTGGTGGCTGGCTGTTGCCTCTGAGGGTAGGGTGCTGCCGCCACCTCAAAATTGGCACAAAACTAAACGCATAAGACTTGCAAAACAAGAGGTAAAGCGGGTGCTGAAATCCGACTTATAAAGAATACATCTAGTTGGAAATAGATGTGTAGAAGTAAAATGGGGGTAGAGGGGCTTTGCGCTATTTCCTTCTCCAGTTTGTTAGTGTAATCTCCGATTGAATCCGATTTTTCACGTCGTACATTATATTTTCGGTATTTCAAAAAATAGGCAATTTATGTTAAATGAGGGGGAAGTTAGAACAACTTTATTTCTTGCGACGTTTTGTAACGACACCGCTAAAATTTATCGGCAGACATCCCCAATGTTTGGTCTTCACCAGATCAATATATTAAAAGTTCGGTTCGTGCAAATGTCAAGGGCCTGGTCACAGAAATGCCGGAGCTCCCTCCAGTCTTATATCCCCTTTCGCCAAAGTGGGACTTACATGTAATGCATCTATTCGGTCATTAGCATTCGCGACCCGAATATAAAAATATTTCTTGAATGAAGTAAAACCACGAAACAAAAAAAAAACTTTTTAGACAGATATGCTATGCTTCTCTTTAATAGCCCGTCGAAAGCCTGAATCATAAAAAAGAAAACTAGTCCCAAGTTTTGATCCTGTGTGACAAAGCCAGCGCATGTAGATACTTTCGATGTACAATCTAAGAACCAAAAATCGCGAGCGCCCGCCATCCTCTGATTTATATCTGAATCAGAGTAAACATTAAACCCACAGATTTAATGAAAACATTCAGCGCTGATTCCACCAAATGGCCTTCAAAACCCCCCATCCCTTCTTTCATGGATACCAAGTAATTCAACTCATACATCGATAATTTACTAATATGGCCCTCATCCTAGCTTTGGCATTGGCTTCGTCATATGACCGAGAAGATATGACATTGCACCGGCTCTACACATGGTTCTTTACATATCCCTTTCTTTTGCGCCTGGTAGCAACCGTTATTCAGACAAAAATTTATTCTAGATGAAATTTCAACGCTTCTTGAACCCCCCGCCCCTTTCCAAACCTGCACTTTGAAGCCGATAACACCGGAATTGTCAATAAAGTCACGCATCAAAATAAAGTGACCTTGGTGAGGCGCGGTGAAACGGTTTGCGTTTGCGCTCGACCCAAGCTCAGTCATTCGGTATTTCTCATTTTTCTGCAAGCGATCTCAAATAGCGCCCCAGCTCTTTTTATATGCGGCCCTGGACCTTGCCCTGCTGTGAAGAAAGGAGGGTCTCGAATACATACAAGTGTACTGACCAGGAACGAACAATGGTGTCGAAAAATGGGAAGAATCAGAGTGCAAATATTTCTTTTGAGTATCACGATGATTACAAATTGTAAATTGGGGTCACTAAAACACCAAAAATCAGTACATACAGTTACAAAACCATTTAAGGCCCGGAACACTACCAATAATATATATATATATATATATATATATATATCTCAGGGTCATTTTGCCGCCTGGAGTGGCTCATATACTACCGCTAGACATTCGGTAATTTTTAATTCGCTGTGACATTTCAAATCTGATTCTGAAATTCATTCCACGCAACCCAGAATAGGCTTAGCATTACATTTATTCAGTGACAAAGTCGTTAAACAAAAGCTATTTACTTGCCCATCAATTCCTAATGCACCTATAGTTGACGCAGCGCAGTAATGTTTAAATATAAAAAAAAATTTGTGAAATAAGAATATTTTTCCCTTGATAGCACTGTCGTTGCAATTGAATATGAACGTCACAAGCTAAGGTGAAATCAGCCTTCATTATTCGTCTCTGCCATCTCTTAGATATTAACAACTACATATTTGCTCAAGACATCTGTTGTCTACCTTTTAGTTTCAACTCGACCTATTTGCTCTTGATTGAACACACCATGTTTAAACAAAACAAAAAAATCAAACAATCGACAAAAGGAACATCCGGATGCCTTAGTTATGTCTAAATTGGGCTGACGTTCAAAGTTGGGCTGACATTAGCATGGAAACTGAAAGGATACCAATAAAATATTTGATAGCAAACAATGCAAAAAGATGACGGTTCGCCGATAGGAGTGGGAGGTGTAGAGAGCCTGAGCAATTTATCTGTTTCGTTACAAAGGTTATTCTTTGCAGTAGTGCCTTATCTGTAGTGGACAGAGCTTCACATCCGGTGCTGAACCAACGTCGCTTATAACGGGTTGCTTTGCTCTTTTCTTGTTAATACTTCAGCTTGGGCGAGCTGGTGGTTCATGCTCTTTTTTCTTGCAGCGGAGCCCGCAAAATAGGCTAGTCGACTGTGAATATGGACTCACTATATGAGGGTTGGATATTCACCATAACTGTTGTATAGTTACTTGCGATATATTGAATTGTGATCTCCCAAGTGTAGTTCCCAGAAACTTAAGCATCTTTTGTTAGAACCTACCTCCATTATTGTGGTAATGAGGACCGAAACAGAAATTAAGAAGCAAGGAGACCTTTACGCCGGCATTCCTTATAGTTGTTCCTCTTCGAATCTCATCAGCTTTCTCGGCGACTCATCACCAGAATTCTACGCTTCACCGAAGCATCTGCAGTGTTCGTCTAGTTATCCCCAGGCAAAGCCTAAGGTAAGCTCAATTGTTGAAGTATGGCGTGGTTAAAATTTTCAATTATACCCTGAGCTCGGACGCCACCCCTTCGCAAGTTGCAAAGGAACTGTGCGTTGATATTCTATCCCCGTCGTAACGATACGACAGGGATTGAACAACATGCCGACAACATTTACAAATCAATTTTCTGCTCAATATACAAGGGATATTTGCCGACGTATTTAAAACTTACTGAAGCTTCAAGTTAATTGCGCTGGGGTTTAATTTAATTTTTATGTAAAAAGAAAAACAACTTGACTCTCTAAGGCAAATCAAACTCCTTGAGGCTATTCCCGGTAGTGTACTAGATTTGTTACAATACTATACAATAATGAGTGTGCAATACATGTGGCCGATCTTTTCTAAAATACATCTTCCTTTGGTCGCAACGAGATTTTCTATTTAAAGTTTTAATATAAGTTTAGATAATCACGTCATGGCGCACATTAATTAATGTGCTAATGTGAGCAATGTTTAGTTTTTGTGCTCTTCAACTCAAGTTGCCTTGCCGGTGGTGCTCTCAAAGTATGAATGCGTATCTTTAACACACACGCGCAAACAAAAATTGCACAGATCCACAAACACACTCACTTGCGCGCGCGCACGCACACACACACATACACGTGCCCACACACACACACACATACGGACGCACGCGCACGCACACGTGTTTAAGCATTTGGCCCCCTAGAAGGCCTCGATGTAGAAAGTTACTCGCCACTTTCGCTCCCAACAAAACATCTTACAAATTTTGAGCTCCTGAATATTTCTTCTATTGCCCGGCCACACCACGAACATCCATCGCTATAACGATTGTGTGCGACATTATTATCCGTGTCAAATATTATGAGACGCAGAGCGCGTCGCATCCAGCTCGTTCTCACGATCTCATATATTTTTTGCTCTGTCACAAAGAAAAAGGCGGCTGTAATGAATGTTCAATATTAATCTATTAGCGAATTTCTAAGCAAAGATACCAGATTTTGGTGCCAAGTTTGTTTTTGGCATTAACATTTAGAGCTAAATTGAAAAAAACTCTGTCGTAATACCTGATTGGGCCAACTGTGTCCCATTGTGCACGCTACTCTTCATGTATTTGTCATTAAAGACTGTCAGCTTTATACAAGCCAATATTTAAAACAAGCTACCTAGAATACATTAAAAGGTTTATTGTTTTGTTTTTCAGTTTAAGCAACATGGGCCTGACAGCATCCACAGCTGGCTAACTGCGGCAGCTTGTGCGTTGTCCACCTTATTCGCCTTGGCTCCGCTGAGAAGCTCTGGATTTCTCTATGTGACCATTATGAACGAATTCAACGTGAGCCGACAGGAGGCATCTTGGACAATCATGATCTTGGGAGGTGCAAGATTTCTGTCAGGTCAGGCCTTTACCCCTTACTGAGGACGTGATTCGACGGTACTTCACCACCATCGAGTGACATAAACACTCAACAAATCTCTCTTAAAAAATTTTTTGGTCGGTTTTTGAGGGTGTGTTGTAAGAAAGCCTGAATGATGAACTTAAGGTTGGACACCGGTTATTGATATCAATAATTACAGACCTTTGTTTTACTTGAATCTGTCTTGTTTCCGATATTGAATGTTTTAAATCCTCGAACGTTTGAGGAGAGTGCTAAAGCACCAGTGAATATAAAATCACCAATTAAAAGTCCACGACTACCAGTTGATGTATTTGTTCGTAGAAGTTTTTTTTAAACCAGAAATCCTAAACTTTAAGTACCACCCTTGTGCCTTTTTCAGACTGTTACTGTGTCCCGGGCTGGCGATTACATTTCGTTTTTTTTGCACACCCTGTAGGTTTATTTTGCCATCGCTTAGGCACTAATTGCCGCAGATAGCCTTGGTTTTAGTGTTCTCCGAAAATCCAGATAAACTCAATCGCTTCGCCATTGCTTCCATAGTGCGCCTCTGGCTAGATTGTATGTGTAAGCGCCTTTTATCCAAATGATTGGAAAGGGGCAAAGGAGAAAACGTTTCTTGATTTAGCAATCCTGACCACTCTGTTAACTGACAGGCTAAGAATCCCGGGGCGTTGCTTATTATGTTTTTTGCTTAGGGACTCGTTGTTCGGCTTTCTATACCTGCTATTGACATAATCCCGTTGGCAACAGAGCGATAATAAGATGCCCTGGGCTAGCTACGCTTATTGCTTCTAAAGAAGTCTGTTACCATGGAATGAACAGGGAATGATGTTCTTTAACGATGCGAAAGGCGAGGTGCACGGCGTGCTTTGCACTGATAGGCTCTTTTCAACACCACGTCAAGCAACATTGGCGGTGGCTGTTTCTTGGTCACGAGGCGTTTGACTGGATCCGAGTCCTCGCCGAGCGGTGGCGCAGCTCCGGTATCCAAGACATGCTCAGAGTACGTACCCGAACAATGACGAACCCGGATAATGGGAACGTTATCTGATATGATGAATAAACCTTTATTTATCGAGCATCAGGTGCAGATGTTAGGGCACCCGCCCGGTGGAGGGCATCCTTAGTCCGGGATACCTTGGCTACGGCTGGCTATCCGGGCCCTTGTCACCAAGTCTTGCTGGATCCCAGGGTCCGGGCTGGTCAGACAGGCCATCCACTGCTCGTAGGATGGGGTGGGTTTGGGAGTGAGGTCCGGGGTTCGTTGGCATTCCCATACCTGATGGTAAAGGTTGCCGGGAGAAGGACAAAAATTACAAGTGGCGGGGTATTGAGCGGGATAGATGGCGTGAAGAAGGGTTCTGTGGGGATATGTGTTGGTCTGCAGTCTTCGGAGGGTGGTGGCTTCATCTCTTGATAATCTTGGGTGCGGTGCCGGGTATTTTCTTCGGTCGTGACGGTAGTGGGCTAGTATGTCGGCATAGTTGATGAGCAGGTCGGTCGTGGGGGCAACAAGTGAGGTTGTTCCCTCTTGGGTAATGGCCCGGTGTGCATGCGCGCGGGCAGCGGCATGTGCCGCCTCATTACCTTCGAGGTGTTCGTGTCCGGGTACCCAGACTAGGTGTACTTCGGGGAGCCGGGGGATGGCCTTGAGGATGCGAAGCGCTGTTTTCGTGATGCGTCCCCGTAGGTAATTCCGACACACTGCCTGAGAGTCTGTGAGCACTGTGATTATATCGTCGCCTGTCGTTGCGGCTAGGGCTATGGCAATTTCTTCGGCGGCTTCTGTAGATGTTGTGCGGACTGTGAGTGCGGTCATTTCTTGCCCTGCTGCATTGGTTACACATACAGCATGGGCTGGCTTATGCGGATACGGGGACGCGTCGGTGTATCTTGCAGCTGGGCTATCGCCGTATTTGGTGTTCATGGTTCGTGCTCTAGCAATGCGCCGAGCCTTATTGTTAACCGGATGCATGTTCTTCGGGATCTGGGCTGCACGAATGGCTTTTCTTAGGTGCAGAGGTACTCGTTCTTTGTGGTCTTGCAAGGAGGGTGTTGCGTAGCCTAACTTTCTCAGTGTGGCTCGTCCGGTAGGTGTTAATTTAAGGCGTTCTAACTGGGAGATGTGATGTGCTTCTTGTAACTCTTCCCAGGTGTTGTGAATTCCTAGTAGCAACAAATTCTTCGTTGAAGTTTTGGGAGGTAGTCCTAAGGCGGTCTTGTATGCTTGGCGCAGGGCAATATTAAGTTTCGATTTTTCGGTTATTTTGAGGGACAAATATGGCGTGCCATAGGCGACCCGGCTAATGAGTATGGCTTGTACAATAATCTATCAATATAATAATAACAATAATAAAATCACTATAAATTTATAAAAAAAATACAATAAACAATAATACAAATAATCTATCATCTGATAGATGGCGCGCATTTTCGAATAGGATCTGTTCCTTCTTACTTTTTTTTTCTCACTACTTTGTTTTCAGTTACACGATTCTGCAGACCATAAATCTGACAACGTTTTTTTTCTTTATTTGCAGACGTTGCAAATGGTAAATAACAACTCCAGTCTTTTGAGAGACCAGTCACGCAATAAATAAATTAAGCAAGTTAAGAATAAACAAACTCCACATGCAGCGTTTAGATGCACAAAAAAAGAACATATTGATGAAATAAAACACGCACGAGAGAGGAATCACGAACTCATTGACTAGTCAACCGCAATACATATAGATTAGACAATTGAAACGCACCAATTCGGAGATCAGCGTCTCCGCAAAGACAATATTTAATGTGTGTTGCTTTGTCCTCGTCCATATGTCACGTAAAACATATATGGAATTCTAAGTAATGTACTTCCAAGTAGAAATGACTAGTGAAGACAATAATTATTTGGAATAGTAGTTAACGCAACCTCTGTTAAAGCTGTTTAAAGTTGAAATCGAGATCAGTGCAGCGAACACGTGGCCAAAAGTGCGTTCGCCTTACCTCCACGCAGCGAGCGTTCTTTGCCAAACCCTTTTGACATCCTTCAAATATTAAGAACGTTCTATGAGGCAACAAACTATGTTACGATTAAAAAACAAAAAAAAAACGTGCCACTTAAATTAAAGGTAAATTACGATGCGGCACTTAAAGACAACTGCGTGTTTCTAGTAATAAAAGGCAGGGAAAGCCATTAAAAGAAATACAAAAAAAAAGCTTTGGGGTTGTTTTTCAGACCAGCACACCAAGAAATGTTACAACGTTTGGAGTGTTAAAGGGGTGTTCCAGAGACTTACACCCGAGGCTACATTGATGTAAGTCTTTGGGGCATACTTTTTACACCTTTAAGCGAAGTGAAAAATCACTAAATTGACAACATTATTAGAACGATACATCGCAGCGCGATCAATATGCGCCCATGCCACTTTTTTTTCTCCTATAGAAACACGCCGTTCCAAACAATGTGTCACTGGGCCAGGGTTCAGTATCTGACTATAGTAGAATATAGCAAGCCAGAGTCGTGATCTTAAAGGGGCGGTGCAACACTTTTATGATTAAAAGAATTTGCATCTCGTCATTTTTACGTTGTTTATCGTGTCCCAGAGGATAGAGAAAACGTTTCCTTCATTAAAAATGTCGCGATTCCGCTGCATAATCGCAAAGCAAAAGTCGAGCTTTTTTTCCCACCTGCAGCCCCAAGTGGCAGCCGAAGGAACTACGGCGGAAAGATTACGTGACCTTGCTCGGCTCTAAGCTGCAGCATAGCGCCCGCTAATGCACGCAGAGAGAGGGAGGGGAAGCGTCCTCTGAGATAGCACACGGGAAGGTACACGGCACTCCGAATGACGTCACTGGGAGTGCGACCAGGTGTGACCCTGAAGACTGGGAGTGAGTTGAGGAGTGCCCGAAATACCAATCTTTATCTTTTTTTTACGCAAAAACTAGGAAACGCAGGCGAAATCGGTTTTCTGTTCTTTACTTCAGAAGTGTCAGGGGGCAACTTCCAGAAATCTTTGACCGAAGTCCGAAAATCGTTGCACCGCCCCTTTAAGGCATGCTGCTGGGTCACATATTTCGATATGGCCAGCCACCCTCTTGAGAGGATTGATAAGAACAGGGCGTTGTACAGGAGCTCGTTCTTGTAATCAGTGCCGTCTGATCGCCTCTGAAGAGATAGATGCCAACAGCCATACTCTATTGGCCTACATACTCCTTTTCGGGGACGCATACATAGGAAGCTAGTTAAAAGAGAGAAAGACTTCTCACTGTCTAGACACTCATCCTAGCACACATAAAGCCAGTAGAAGATCCCGAGCCAACACTCACTGACAGACTTAAGGGTAAGAGCATACCCTTCGGTTGTCGGAATATCACGGCGCGCCTTCCTTGCTGTGTTAACTAACAGCGCGTGCACTTCGAAAGCTCGTGCGACGTCAGAAAGTCACGGAAACTCAGAAAGCTCACAGTGAAGGCAGCCGAACTAAAAAAGGTCGTCCGCGAACATACAGTGCTCCGCAAAGAGCCTGGTCTTATGAGGTGAACAAAACAAAAATACCGCATTTCAAATTCACCTTGGACTCTCCTATTCGGCTGGAAACAACCGGCGGCGAATGAACATTTTAATAAAAATGTGCTTATGTGCTAGATTTCAAACAAGATGCATCACGCTTGAATGTCACGACAAACTCGTTACGCTAACGCCAAGACAACATAAAACATACACAGCGGCATAGCAGGCAATGCATAAGCATCCAAGGATTGTGTAAGGCGCATTAAGTCCTAAACATAGACATATAATAATAACTATACCTAGTTTCTATAATTATTTTTTTTATATTGGAATATTAAATATATATCAATATTATGATTATTATTTTTGTATTTATTATTTTTTATAATTTGTTTTTATGTTTATATTTATATGTGTATTTATATATATATATATTTAATATATTATTAAAATATTTAAATAAAAAAATAAGCACTACGAAGCATTTCTAGAAGACCCAAAAGCTAGGCCGACTGGACGAGATTATCTGGCTCCCCCAAGCACCGGAAAGATATTTTCAACCCCCTCCTCCGCTTCAAAAAGGAGGCTCGTCTCACTCATTTTATTTAATCGCCATTATATCCACCCCGAGACAGCAATGACGGATTAAGCCCAGATGACCTGGTGCTCCTTATTTTCCTTGTTATTAAATACATTTAAAGCCCTTCACTCTTTCTACTTTGGCTTTGTTTTCCTCCACTCCAGAGTTCGCTTACAAAACTGAAAATAATGGAGGGCTTTGCCATGAATTTTTTATCCTGCTTGTTCTGGATATCCAGATTGTCCTGCATTTCTTATGCTGCAATAAAGTACAGGCAGAATTATTTGCAACGGGTGAAATTAGAGAGTTCTAGTATATCGCTCCCATGAATCCGGTAAAGATACCCGATATTTCGCAGCCGTCTTTGCGCATGCATTGTATTTTATCGAGTATCGCTATCATATTTTGTATGTGCGTTTCGATTTAAGAAAAAAAAATATAAGAATTTTTACTGGGTCAACTAAATATATCCGTTTGAGTGAGTATTACGGGGGTCTACGGTACGCGTAAAAACCTGCGCTTAAAGTGTGAGAAAGATGCCGTGAAAAACAATGGCAGTGTTTTGTCACTTTTGCAGGATTGCTGGCGGGCTTCCTTGGAGACGCCTTTACTACCAGACCCCTGATTATCTTTGGGAGCATCGTGTCCGCCTTGGGTGTAGCGCTGTGTGTTTTTGTCAAAAGCATTTGGGTGCTACACTTGACTCTGGGCTTGATACATGGTAAGTAACAACGCAAACTATTGATACCTCGTGCGAGTTCTTGCTCGATATGTGATGAATCTGTTCTGCATCGATTTTTCACATATTGTCAACATAATTCTGAGCCGTGTAAAGTTGATCTTTTTAGCAGTGCAATAGCCGATGTTCTTTTAATGGCCACCGATGGCTCGAGCTGTGCTTTTCAGAGCATCGAATGTAGCGTACATTTTTGTTTTCATCTAACCACCCAGTTACGTTTGGGCGAATAAATCTGAATGTTTAAGAGTACGGAAGCACAATTATTTGTGGCATTCCTGGTTGTCACCCGCATCAAAACTGGAATCTGCTTTCAGGCTAACTGTGTCGTTTATATTTAAGTATCTATTTCAGCTTTAAAAAAAATAAAAAAGGCGTGGACTTTGGTGGGCCAAGTCATTGTAATATGTATACCTCAATGGAAAGTACTTTTTCTTTACATCTTGCAATAGGCCCTAGCAAAATCGATCGTTCTGATCTCTCTCTATTCAACGTAAAAAACAAACCTCCCCCCCCCCCCCCCCTCCCTGCAGAAATAGGATATCACCCGAAGGAAATAGCATATCAGAGCAGAGAACAGGATATTACCCAAAATTCGAGTTCGCATCATCACTTCTATTTTTTTTTCCATTTTGTTTGTCTGTTTTTATTTCCGGAAGTTATTTGAGCACTTTCTGATTCACAACCTTTCGAAATTATTTTACTCTGCATGGCGTTTACCAAAGACGAAGGAGAATTACAAATAAGAGCCTACAAAATAAGAACAGTAGTCCCGCGGAATAACGTTATCGATCGCGGCAGACATCAGATTACGAGTATAAAGTAATAATTAGACAATTAATCACCTGAAACCAATAAACTAATAGGTTTTACCTCCTTGCGGTAAGGGATACGGTGGTCGTTGTCAATATATGCCATAGCTATCGTTAGAAATAAGACGGTGAGTTATGTTCCTATTATCTGGCAAAACGAAGCCGTGAGGAAACTGGGATCCAAAAACTATACACCAACTAAACTTTCTGACGTTACACCACTGCGGCAGCTCTCGTGTCGGCACAGGGCATACGCAGGCGCTTTATTTTACGTGATTCTGGTTTCAGCGCATGCGCGGCGCCCCCACCTGGGGGTCTATTCACTTCACCCAAAGATACTTCATACCGAGACAGTGCATCCCAGACACTTTTGCGCGAAGTCGTTTCATTCCAAGACATTTCATCCCAAGGCGTTTAATTCCATATATATTAAATACCAGTATGGTTTATAGCTTCCACTGCTTCTGCCACACTTTATAGCAGGATACTTCATTCCAGGGCAGTTAATCCCACGCACTTCATAGCAAAGACATTTCATTCTAAGACAGTCTTTACCAGGACGTTCTATGCCAGTGGTATCTAATACCCATACCTTTCATACCAGAATAAGTTGGTGCACCCACGAGTTGCTGAGCACATGCAAAAAGAGACATTCCAGACTATTCATTGAGGACCATCATAGCCGTCACGTCAGGCAAGTAGCCGGGGAGGGGGGGGGGGGGGGGAGGGGGGAGGGCCGGGGGCCGGGGCTGCCCGAAATCCTTATGTTTGCTGGAACCTCCTCTCCCCTGCCCCATTTATCGCGGTTTGCCATGGGCGCTCCCTTCCCCCCTGTCGAAATAAAATCCTGGCTACGTGGCTGCGTCACGTTCATGTAAAACGAGCAAATTTCATCAGTTGTAACCTCCTGCTATCTGATACGGGCCCATATTAAACCACGATAAAAAGCCTTTTTTTCACAATACTACCATTTTGGGTTTTGCTCGCTGTATTGAACTTTAGCGAAAGTCGGTTCATTCCACTTAGAGTCATTACGTTTCCTCTTTATATCTCCGCTCTCTTTTTTTTAACCCTATTTGGAGTGCCGCTAAAAAGTGTTGTAGTAATAGTCCAATTTAGTTATTCTCAAAGCTTCACACAATAAATAATTACTATCGCAGGAACCGATGCCACGCGAAACCCTTCCGAAATGTATCGTGCCAAGCCAACATTCACCGGAAATATTAAAAAATGAAATGTTTATTTGACAGTTACACACTCATTAACGTAAAAACATAACAAAACTTCACAGCACACCGATTCAGGCTAAGAAACTCCTCATATGACTATATTTGGAATAATGCACTCAAGTAACAATCACTAAGTACAAGCCTTGAGCACGCTTTGAGAAAGCTGTCTGCGTCTTGAGTGCTGTAGTCCTACAGCATCCTCTTCAGACGCTTGTTTGAACGCTCGTATTCTTTCTTGATATACAACCCTGGCTCATGACCTACGTCGAGCTGGGATGTCAGCGAGTTCACAAAGACTTGTTCAGAAGTAAGCGCGTCCATCAACTTGAATACTGTAGGGTGAGATGCACCGATAGAGCTTTGGGATACCTTGTGCCATAATTGTATGCTGTTCTTTGTTCCGGGAAGGCTGACTTCTGTCACGCGCTTGCAATTCCACATGGTTAATGCGATTCTGGGATTCTTAAGGTGTAGACCGACTCAGGTTTTCTGGAAGTAGTCTAAGAAGTCTTGGTTCTGTTACGTTCGTCCTAGCAACTCCAGCAGCTGTATTGTCAGCATCCGATATCGGTCGCAGACGTTCAATATATAGCAGAAGCCAGTGCGACGAATTCCTTCAGCATGAGGTGGCAGCTGGATTCATCAATAAATCGCACGTGCATGCCAAGCTCTTGAATTCGGCTCCAGATTCTTTCCACATAATGGAATAAAAATCCATGCACCTCGACGTCAGGCAGGCAATTCAAAGTCTATGACTACTGTACGCATCTGTCGTGGTCTTAAGGTGGCATCGTCAATAGCCTGAAGTAGCATGCGCGTTGCTTTTTTTGTACGTCGTTTCGTGCTTGTTCGCACAAAGACAGAAAGCAAGGAGAGCAACCTGCCTTTGTAGAGGCCACGAGAAACCCAAAGCTGGTCAACTATATCTGGTGATACTTTAAGTATACCGTCGCACAACCAGGTGCTACAGGCGTTTAAGCGGCACAGGTCCATTTTAGAGGCGAAATTTATTATTACCGAATCATCGGAGGCCATGTCCCGACTCCCCTGCGACAAATATTTAGGAGACAATGTTCTTGTCAAACGCTGGTGTTCCGGTATAACTAAGTCTTCAATTTTGTGGGGTTCTTGAACAACGCCATGTGTACCGCGTCGAACTCTGTTCACTATCCTTTCTAGTGAAGATAGCTTGGGGAGCTTAGCAATAGTTGCCGGTCTTGCCCTTGAAGGCAGGCGGTTACGAACTTTCGAGAGTTGTCGAGGAAACGTTTGGCCGCAGTTTTGACCTCATCTCGTAAACGTGCCGCAACGACATTTTCGGGACTCGGTAGATGTCACGTGTTTCCTTAAGTCAGAGTGGTCGTCTCACCTGCTGTAACAACACGTCCCCGGCGTCCCTTTTGGAATTTCTCGCATCTACATGTCGTATTCTCAAAGTCGCTCCTGTGCTTCGTCTAGATGCAACCTTTGAAGAAGAGCTTCGGTGAACTTCCACGAGAAGCCCAAAAGGTAGCTATCTTCTATAAACAACCCGATGCCAACTAATGAGTCGGGACCGCTGTACTGCTTGACAGATAGGTTATTAATGCAAAGTGCGGGAAGGCCTTGACAAAGGCGAAGTGCGTCTGCGGGATGCGGACGTGAAAAGCCGATTTACTAATTCATCATCTAGGCGGGAAACTGTATGGTATGAAATATCAAGGTATGGAATTTCCTTGGTTTTAAGGGCCCTGGGATGACGCGTGCCGAGATAGAACGTCTTTGGCCTAAAGTACCTGAAATAAAGTCTTTTGAGATGAATTTTATCTTCTAGACAGACGATTTTCTGACTTGAAATATCCACGTATGGGATGTCATTGGTATGAAGCGTCCTGGGATGAGACGTCTCGGGATAGAACGTCTTTGGCATAAAGTGTCTGGGATGAGGTGACATGGTATCAAGTGAGCGGCTCTCGAAAGTTTCCTGGACGGCCCTGGATACTGCATGAATTATTCTGGCATGAAATGTTACAGTGCGGAATGCTAATGGGATAAAGTGTAGAAGGATGAAACACCTTAGGATGAATCAACTTTGATATAAAGTGTCTGGGATGAAGTCTCCTGAGATGAAGTATGGTACAGCCCCCACCTCATGTGAAAGAAGGGGCTTGCTTGTGAACACCTAGTTTGTGTATGCACAAAGAAGCAGCGAAAGTGACATCCAGAAACAACGTCAGCCTCCGCAGCGCGCGCGTGTCGCCAGTCATCGCGAACCGATATGTCAGCGCTGTGTTGTTTAAGGCTCACGTGGTCGTAGAGGACGCGCGCCATACACTGTTATCTCCTTGAACTCGAAGCTTCTGGCGCATTTCTTCCAGTAGTTTCGGAAGGGCGGAACCTATATGGTCACTGATAGCTCGAGAAACGCGGCGAGTGGCGAATCCGGGGTATCATATCATGGCTCCGCAGTCAATGAAGCTGCGTGATTAGTCGACAAGAGCGTCAAAGAACATATCACGAAGAAGTGTGAATATAAGCTTCGCCCTGGGCATTTATTAAGTTGTCGACAACTAGAGGGAGCCTAACTTCTCGAAAGGATAGCGTGGAGTGCAGTCTAAAAAAATATTGTTGTAAAAGAACTCTTAGGGGTTCTTCGTCATGCCCATTTTTTGTACCCTAAAAGGATCTTTTAAGCAGCCCTAAAAGGATTCTGTGTGAAAAAAAAAAAAATCCTATAGGCGTTTTTCTAAGCTCATTTTTTACGCAAAAGAGTTCGTCATCACCCAGTTGCCTTTCGAGTGCGCACGGGGGTGATAGTGCTTGAGGCGAAACCGGTCTTCACGAGCTGAAACAGTACTTGGGGTGTCGAAGAACCTTTTAAGAACAGATTTTCTTAGATTGCACGTATTTGTTTTCTGCATTGTAACAGGCGCTATGGCAAATTTTAACGGCGGGCAGCACATTTCTAAATGGATTGTGCCAGCTAAGACTAATATTTAGAAACATGTTTCGTACACTTTAGGTAGTTCTAAATTATCACTTTACAGTGCTTAGCTGATGTCTTTTGCAGTCGATACCAAAATGAATCTTTTACACATTCATGCAAACCTTTTTTTCACAAATGCCTTTCAATAGTTGATGAAACATCTTGCATCTGGTTAGTTATCTGAACTTGACAAAAATTCTGCTCACGTGCTGATAGACAAAGAGATTAACTTTGTTCATCTCCTCCAATGTCGCGGGGGGGGGGGGGGGGGGGGAGGGAAGGGTTGATATCTAACAGAAGTGCTCGTCTTGGTATTTCGTTTGGTTCGCGTATTAAGGTTATAGGGGGAATTCATGTTTATACTTCATAATATTAGCAACACACTATAATTTAAGCGAAATATACGCTGCTCAAAAGTAGGTGTCAATAGACAATGCTGCAAGAACCCGGAGCTCACAAGTTTCCTTTGTTTCTTTTTCTCACGCAGGATTTGGCAGTGGAATCGTCTATTCAATGAACCCGATTGTCATAAGTGAACACTTCATTAAACACAAGGCGTTTGCTATGGGCATCAACTACGCCGGTTCCACTCTTGGCACCTTTGTCTTCCCCAAACTTTTAGAGTACGTCGTGGGATTATACGGCTTTCGTTATGCCATGCTCATTTTTGGCGGCATACTGTTTAACTCCGTGGCATTCAGCTTGTTTCTACGTCAACCATTCTGGCTAAATAAACGCGCCACAGTGAGCAACACCTCTGAAATATGTGAGCTAGGATTTCAAGGGCCGACTGAACCCTTCATCATCTCGGGATCCATAACAGGCCAAGTTACAAGCCACAACGACAAGCCTAACTTAATTTATAGAGGTCTGAATATCGCCCGCTTGCCCATGTTCTACGTAGTTACTTTTTCCTTCATCTCGTTCGGTCTGGGTTACGATTGCTACAATTCCCTTCTCGTCGACTTCGCCATTGACAAGGGGATAGCCAAAAGCAAAGCCGTCGGAATGACATCTTTGTGCTCTGTGGCCGACCTAGCGGGAAGGTTGATCCTGCCCGCGTTGACGGACAGGAATCTCGTCAAGAGAAGCACACTGATGATTCTATTGCTTTCCCTCGTTGGGGTATTATACATCATGCTGCCTTACGTCAGCGAATGCGGCTATATTTTCACACTGACTCTCGGACTAGCGGCTTTGCTCGGCTGTGGTGTAGTGCTCTTTCCAGTACTTCTTGGAGAGTATGTTGGTCTCGAGAGTATAGCCATGGCAACAGGGTTGATGACCTCACTCTCAGCAGTCTTCTCATTTACCAAGCCCTCAATTATTGGTAAGCTACATCCTTTTACGCTAGTTTAGTCCTCCAAATGTTATTTAGATGTGAACCTATCTAAATGTAACATGTTATTAGAAGAGGCCGGGATGGATCTTGCTGCAGTCCTTATAATAATTTTATTTATATTAAGCGACGGCGACCCTTTCTAAAACTTCGAACTTAACTTTCGGCACATGTATCTACTATTGTGTTTTAAGTTGCTTAAATGTCTCTGGGAGCTCAGCTTTTAATAGCTAAAAGAGAATCGCCTGAGTTAGTGCCTCGATGGGGATGTTTTATTCAGAGAAATGAAGCACCAGGCGGAGCCGTGACTGTAATGAACATAGAGCATTAAAGGACAATTAATATCATTTTCTTGTGTCACAGGAAACATACAAGTTAGTGACACCAGAAGGCGAACCCAAATGTTCTAGCCTCATCGTCCATCGCGGTCACAGTTCCTTCGGATAGTTCATTTCTGTAGGCAGTGAAGTCAGTTCGTGCTCGTCGTCGTTAGTCGTAAGAATTGGTCGTCGCCACTTATCGCATGCGGTCGTGGTAATTTATAACCTTCATCCTCAGCCATCTCTCGTTGTCATCGCTGTCGTTCGTCGTTGTCATTGCCGGCTGTGCTTCTTCGTATTTCATCATTGGGGTTCGTGGCTGCGGTTTGTGGTTTACCGTTGTGGTTCATCGTTCGTTGTTGTTGTACGTCGTTATCGTTCGTCATTCGCAGCTGTCGTTGTTATCGTTCTTCGTCCGTTGTTGTCGTTCGTTGTTATCGCTACTCCTCGTTTACCGTCGTACATCGACGTTGTCAATCATCCATGTCGTTAATTACCACTCACCATGTTTCATCCACCCTCGTAGTCCTCGCCGCGGGCATTCTTCATGGTCTTCAACGGGGAGGGGGGAGGGGAGGGGTTGAAGGAATTGAGTCTAGTTGGGGATACTCCTCACATCCCCAAAATGTCCCGGGGGGGAAGTGACGACAATATAACTGAGAAAAAGAATGGTTATATGAGGCAAACTTGTGCCTGCCACCGAAACAAAAGCGAACATCGTACATATTTCGATGGTGACGTAAGGGCTATACTGCCCCGAAGCAACGCGGAAGTGGTGCTCTTATTCGCATTTTATCTTCAAAACGTTTCTAAGCCGGAAGGCATGCTCACTATTGCGAATGATATGGAAATTTCGAAAAAAACAATAGTAACGAAAAGTAAAAGCAAATTCAAGGCAGGTAGGTTTAAAACCTGGTGTGTTTATGTGACAGCCTCGTGCAATGCCATCAGTAACACGCGCGCAGCCCCCCCCCCCATACGGTCCAGTCGCATTAAAAGGGCGCGGGACTGCCTCTACGGCAAACCCGCAAAGTCCGAGAGGTACAATTGAGGAGAGTTAAACAATAATAAACAATATAAATTATTGACAATTTCTTTACAATGGCCACCGACAACTCAAGAAGCCTATCATGTAGCTTTTATGTTCACCCGTCTCGCTCAGTGATTCGTACCTAGGAGTGTTCATTTGGTGATGCCTCACTCTCATGGGCTGCGAAACAATAGGATGCTATGCACGTACCCCGCCCTACGTTTTTCAAATTGACAGAAACTACGGAGTTAATCTGTCTCTTACTCGCCAGAGAGTTCGATGATTGATGTTCAATTACATTGTGTTCTGGTAAACAAAAATGCAGAAATGTAGATGTGAGCCGTTTTAAATTTTACTTTTTTTTTGTGTACAGGTTACTTCCGTGACACCCTTGGCGCTTATAACCTTCTTTTTGTGGCCTGCGGTTGTGTTACTATTTTGGCGTCATCGACATGGGTGGTTGCAGAATATGCAAGACAGAAGACCGTAAAGAACAAATGGACTATCGACCAAACGCAAACTACAACCAACATTTTGGTGGGGACATATTCGCTCATCCCTTGATTATACACCTCGTTTACAAGGAATGTCTACGGGATAAACCCTTAAGAAACATACTGTTAAGTGCCCACTTGCTTACTTAAAAATAAAGTTTAACCAGCGCGGGGAATAATTTATTTTATTTATTGTCATCGTAAAAAAAAGTTTAATAAAATATTCTAAAAACGTTCTTAGAAATGTCTTTCATATACCGAAGACACCACACGACACATCGCAACTCAAAATGCGCATCCAGTTTTTCCCTGATATGCTACCTTATATAAAAGATACAGAATTAAAAAAGTAGTAAAGACTATGCCTTGACACGAAGAAAGGTACCAAATGTGAGCCTATTAATTACTCTTCGACAGTTCCTCATTTATATAATTATTTTTGGAGAGCGTTCCTGTAAAAAAATATTATTTAGTGTACTCCACAAATACATTTTTTAAAATCGATTTCTGCTCTTGCCAAGAAGTCTGGGAATAACACTGATTTAGGCTTTGTTTTAGGCATTAATATAATTTGGGGCTGAACACAGGGGTTTTCATAGCAAAGATTCAATAAATTTGTTTATTTAGCGCTTGCAATATATCTTGATGTCTAGTTCACCAAAACGCCGCAGAAATTTCCAAAGTCTAAAGAAATCAACGTAACAAAAATGGTGCCTGGACGTCCCATGACCGCCATAATATTCCGCGATCAATTTCTGAGTTCTATCCCGCCCGATGTAAACATTGTTCTCAAAAAGAGCGCATGAAGGCCTGCGTGACATTGACGCTTGGAAGAGCGACATAGTCGTTTAGGTGACGTCGTTACTTGTTTCGTCGGTACGCCCACCAAGCATACACTGCCGAGTTTGTTATGACATAATCGAAATCATGTCGTCATCCTTCCAGGTGTTATTGTGGGCCGGGCTCGCGACGCTCTTGTTATGCGTAAGTTTTAAATCCGGCAAAAAGGAAATCAAGAAAATTAATTGAATTATATCTAAAAAAACAATTACTGTTTGGCAATTTTTTTCGAAAATTGATCTGGCCTTTAATGGTAATTGCCGTTAATACTGCAACTCCAAACAAGAACCCTAAAACTAATATTAGAAGTCAATTGCGTGATTTTAGTAAATTACTCACCGTGCCTTGGCAATTAACCCCTCATATAATTTCTGAGGAATCCGATAATTAAATGGCGAAGACAAAACACTTCTAACTCTCGCCCCCTATTAGGGGAAGGAAGATATATGTTTGAATTAAACTAAATACACCCCGTATACAGATAGCAACTTCCAGCGAGTTAACGTTCCTCCGTCGCCCACTATACTCCTTTTCAACTAAAAAGAAAAAAAAGAAAAAAAAGCTTTTTTGGATTGTTTTTGCGCCGTGCGATGTAGTTTTTGCTGCATTTGGTTGTTGGAGGAAGAAGCAACGTTTTCCGCGTTTGAGACGTGTGCGTCTCGATAATATAACGCATTTCTAGTCCAAAGTGCATCTACATATATCTTAATTCTCCACATACAGCGGGAAGTGAGTAATATTCCAGAAGGAGCCGGACTTTTTACACCACGGGTATTGAGGTGAAACCGAGTATCGAGGATAACACCAGGACCCAGATCGAACGCGAATACTACGTTTGGCTAGAACTCGCGTTCCACCAGCGAAGAGAGGAACACCAGCCGAACACTGACCACTTGTGCTCATTCTGCGTCCCACACTGGTCTCCGCTCGGTGGCGCTGAAAACCTAGCACCACGGCCTTGCTACATATCGGAGCTGTTGAGTCAGGCTTAGCAGGAAAGTGAACGAGAGGGAGGGTGAAAATGGTAGGGAGATGAATAGCACAACGAAGCGCCTAAGTGCGCAACGCTCCTCGTCCGATTCGCGAACATGCAATCCCAGGGCACAGGTGTTTGAAACCCGTGACGCATGCAATGTTAGAAAAAATATATATATTGCTACGGTAAGTCAGAAAGTACGCATGTCATTTGTGTTTTTCAAGTTTGCTAGAGGACACATGCTTTTGGAAGAAGTAACAGGTGCTAGAAAAACAACATATTTTTTTTTTATGATATGATAAACATGTCGAGGTTGGTAAGTACGACAGGCAGATAAACTGCAGCTCTGCGAGAAGTTAGAAAAATAGTTCTCACGTGCCGCGCAATAACGTCATTTTAAAGCAGATTGTGTTTGTCGACTGTATTTCGCGGAAAGTCGTAAGGCCCTGAATATCTCAAGGAAGCGTTACACTTAAACTAAGGCAACATAAAAGACGCATAGCCCGTAGTAGGCAATAGATAAGCAAACAAATCCTTTAGAAGGCATAATTACTCCAAACAATTCATACATTATCATAACTTGGGGCACACAATCGAAATCAGAAACATTCACCAAGGAGCTCAGGGGGAATCGAACACCGGACAGGAGATTAGAAGTCCTGCACCTTCGCTCGGTGCTACTAGTACGAGATGAACGACAGGGCAAGCAACTTAACTAAGTATGACTTACCGCCGGCGGTCGCTCGCACTAGTAAGTAAGTAAGTAAGTAAGTAAGTAATATTTATTTCAGCAATATTGTGCTGAGGGCACCAGACAAAAAGCTTCCATGAGGTAGCTTGACTGGGCCTGGTGCCCCTGCACTTACAGGGCATTATAAAAAAAACAAGTACTACAGAATACACTTTGACTAAACAAAACAAACACGTACATCTTTTTTTGTTAAACAGTGAATATCATTGTGGTCTATAAGGAACTTGTTAAGTAATGAAGGCAGGTTATGCGCAATAGATTGGAGTGCATAATTTGTACGAAAATGAGGCACGTTCCAGAACTCTCTGCGTCTGACAAGGATGAAGGATTCACGTTTTGTCAGATGGGATACATTAGACAAAAAAGAAGCAAACTCAGCGGTCGAAAATAAATAAGAACATAGCAAACGGTACTCGTATACACTGGCAATCCTCATGATGTTGAATTTAAGAAATAATGGCTCAGTATGAGTGTCGTAAGGCACGTTTGCAATAAAACGCAGCATTTTCTTTTGTAGGATCGTGAGTTTGTTAATATTAGATTTGGTTGTTGTGCCCCAAACCAAATGACAATAGTTAATTTGTGAGCTAAACAGAGCATGATAAATTTGCATTTTAATATTTACAGGCAACAAGGAGCGACAGTGGCATATTATTCCAACAACTTTTGACAGTTTCGTAACTAAGTATTCGATGTGATTATCCCATTGCATATGTTCTGAAAAAATGACACCTAGCGTTTTGTGCTGTTTAACTATTTCAATCTGGTCAGTTCCAATCTCTAGAGTATAATTACTAATAACGTGCTTATTTACAGGTCTAAACAAAATTGCTTTGGACTTTACAGTGTTTATTTTAAGACCATTTATTTTTGACCACGAAAGAAACTTTTCCAAAACTAAGTTTCCCATGGGTATAAGTTCGTCCATATTCGATGCAGACAGAAATATACTCGTGTCGTCTGCATACATTACAAAACGTGCTTGATGGCAAATATTGACTAGATCATTTATATATACATTGAACAGCAGAGGGCCGAGTATGCTGCCTTGGGGCACACCAAACTTCAAGATTTGCAAAGAGGAAACATGATAACTCACGGAGACACATTGCTTACGGTGTTCTAAATATGAATGAATAAGTATCAAAGGCGTGCCACGTATGCCATAACATGAAAGTTTATCAAGGAGCGTCGAATGGTTAAGACAGTCAAACGCTTTGCTAAGGTCAATAAATATTCCCAGTGTCAGCAGTTTGCATTCTATATTGTGTAATATTATTTCTTTCTGTGATATCAGAGCGCTTTCCGTGGATTTTCCCTTGCGAAATCCGAACTGGGAGTCAGTTAGCACTGAGGTCTTCGTAAAAAAATTGTCTAAACGATATAATATAATTTTTTCCAGCCCTTTAGAAAATATTGGAAGAACAGAGATGGGTCTATAATTTGTAACTAAATTTTTGTCTCCACCTTTATGCAAAACTGAAACTTTTGCGAGTTTCATGTTATTCGGAAATTGACCACTCGACAATGCTAAGTTAAATATATATACCAAGAGTGGGGCCACCACATCGATTACGAATTTAACGGACTTTATTTGTATATCGTCTATGTCATGGCTTTTACTGTTATTCAATCCCATAAATACACGGATCACTTCCAATTCGTCTGTAGGTTGTAGGAAAATTGTGTCTGTTACACGGTGCGAGATAAACGAGGAAGCATGCTCATTGTGCGCGCTAGAAGGCAAGTTAGTAAAATGTCTGTTAAAGAGCTCAGATAGTTGTACTCCTGATACGCTCTCAACAGAAAGTGAAAGTTCATCTATTGAATTCTTCTGCTTGCTGCGTTTAAGCACTTCATTTATCGACTGCCAAACAATCGCAGGACGCTTCTTGTGGGCGTCATGAAAAAGACGTTTGTGATATTCTGTTTTTGATTTTTTAAGTGCAGATGTCAGTTGATTGCGATACCTCTTAAAAACTGCATGGTCACCGTCATCCTTTGAACAGAGGTACTCCTGATATAAGCGATTCTTTTTTCTTAGAACGCGACTGCCCGCTGCGAGTGATACATCGTTCAGTATACTCAGACCGGAGGTAGCGCGACCCTCGGCGGAGAGTAATACATAGTCCAGAGAATTTAGCGTGTTGTACGGAACGGTGTTTGAAGGGACGACGCTCCTGGAACGCGTTCCTTTTAGGAAGAACGAAGAAATACCGGCGTTGCATCTTGCATCGGGGGAACTTAAGCAGAAACTTGTTACATTTAGGAAAAAAGGGTACGTGTTTCTTGTTTTGTTGTCCGGTGAGGCAATTTTTAATTATTTTTGACGGCGAAACTCTAAGAAGTGTAAAACAATAACCTTACGAAGAGCAGGCTCTCGTTGACTATTGTGTTACTTATTTTAGGTGGTTTTTTTTTGTTTTTTTTTTTTTGTGGGGTTCATGCTTGGCTATAGTCGGATACAGGCGATCTTGTGGATATTGATTCTTTTTTTCAGTAATTGAAAGAACCATTACCAATTAACACGTAAGATAATTGAGGCGGCTAATATCTTGAAAACGAGTTATACCTCTGTTAGTAGTCCGTATATTACACTTACTGAAAAAGAGCTCGAGGGTCATATGTGTCATAGACATAGCCATTTGTTTGGTACAAAAGACAACGAAGCG